ACAGTACCGTAAAGGAAACTTGACAGCTATTGACAGCTATAGACAATGCTTATTAAAGAATTTATAAACCATTAGGACGCCGAATCGACTTAGCCAAGTCCACAGTAGGGCGGTTAAAAATGAAATGCTGCACGAGAGAACAACAATATCGTCGTTAACGACGAAGCTCCTCGCTTGATGGTTTGGTTATTCGAAAAAATTGTCGCACCTGAGGTTTAGAAAAAGCCTCGAGAGATTGTCGAGGAGCGCATGCATTCATATCGTGTTACTGATTGACGCTGACTTTGAACTAGAGGTATCAAGGGATAATTCTTCTTCGTAAATACGACAAGTGCGGCAGTAACTTTGAATGGTGTTTGCTGCGTACATGGTAAGACATAAATATAGTCGGCATATGGTTGCCAAATGCGATATCATTTGAGAAACAATTCAATAACTGCATGGATCATTTCCTAGGCATGAAATCTTTCGTTATGACGACCACAGTTACGTGGCGAGATTCTCCTATTTAACGTCGACGGTGTTCCTTTTCTAAGGGTTCTTTGAAATACAAAATTTTATGCCAATAAGCCGACAAGCCATCGCGTGAAGATCGAAATTGAACGAAATGTGACGACCTTTACACAAAATGATCGCGGAAATTGAAACAAACGTGTACGTATATGCCAGGAAAGTCCTGGAGTTCACCTACCCCATATTATATTCGATATGGCATATCATCCTATTCTGTATGCTTTACGAATCAATAAAAAGTTAAAAATCCATGTTTTTTATCAAAATTACCTCTTGAGCGGATTTTTTACAAGTTTATGAATCGATTGTAATCGAGTTCCTCATGTCTATTTGTCTTGTTGTCAGTTGTTGGCATTTTCACGATCGCCCAATAGTAGTATTTCGTTAACGGCTGAAGAATTCACCCAACTTGAAATTGTACCAAATATAAGTGGAAAGTTGTAACTTCTAGGTTGGCTTTTACTACAGCTACCTGAAATTTTTAAGGGAAAATAAAATATGGCAAATATTGTAGTAATCCGGCGGTAATCGGTATTCAGTGTACGTCACTTGGTGAATATTATATATTCTTGGGTTATTTTCTTGTTTCGTTTTTTAATACCTAACAACACTTGTGAGCACAAGGGTACATTAGTTTGTGCGGACATATGCAACTCCTAAAAGGCATTGAAATAGATGCAAATTTTTATTACATCCACCGATTCAGAATGAGTCAACTTAAGCTTGTCTATCCGTCTGTCCGTCATCTTTTCTCGTGTTTAACGTACAAGTAGCAAAACTTTTGAAATCATTTTATGAGATTTGATATATTGGTATGTTTTGACCCAAGGACATTGGTCCCAAGCCTATTGAATATGATCGAGATCGGACCACTTTTTCGCCCACTTCGCCTATAATAACTCATTCTAGAGAATCATTAGCGGCGATGCCCCATTATATAATGATGCTTTTACTTCTTTTAAATAAATTGAATGAATAAAATTCAGTTTTTATTTTAAATTTTATTTCTTATTTATAAGTCGTCATTTGAATTTGTTCCATTGAGTTTTAATAATCAATGAATAATAATGTGAATGATATAAAAACATTTTTACTTATTTTTCTTAATAACTTTGCCTAAAATATCCGATACGTTACAATTCATTACCAATACGATATTAAGCTTAGCTGCAAATTTATAAAAGCATTTGAAACGAAAACTCTGACCATTTGGTTTCTGCTCAATATATGAATTAAAAGCTTATCCGCTTATATTAACAAACAAACACACAATTACCGCATTTTAGTAAAAGTTAAAACTAACATTAATAAACCAATAACAAATTCGTAAATATATTTTGGACAGCTTTAGAAGGGAACTTCATGCCATTTATACAATAGCTACTGAAAGTTATTGAGAAAGAAATTTTCACTATTTTATGTGAAAATTAAAGTGAAACAATTTTGAAATTTTTATACTAAAACCTTTTTCTTATTTCTGTTTCATGCGAGATTGATTCACACAATATCAATCTGTCAATTTATGGAGCTCACGCATAACGACGGTAGAGTTCTATTTTATAAAATCGAATAAAACCCATCACTAATTTGAACAAATTCTGAGTCAATTTAAAAATAATATCCTCAATCTCTTCGAATATCTTCGATCTCTTACTATCGATTACGCGGAGAAAAAGTGAAGTCAAAGTCGGGCGAACAATAACATCATTCATGTTAATTTTACTAAAAAAAAAAAAAAAAAAAAAATCCAAAGGAATTTAAAAAGAGATAATAGTTAAGCACACATACATATACATATATATATATATATATACAAGCAATATTCGTAGCGAAAACCAATTTGCTCAATATAATATTCTGACTACACGGTAATAAGATGTTTTCGTATAGGTCGAGCGGGCTTATCATAACAATTATTCCACTTTTTTTTTTTTTTAAGGGGGACAATTGTTCTCGCTTAACCGGCATCCATCAATATCTAGGATAGTTGGTGGGCAACTCACCTAAATGGTGAATTTCTTTATTACATTTTATTTTCTCAATTGGGTGCAAAATTATCTTCCCTGACTGAGCCAAGTCAGAGGAATATAAATGCTTGCAGAACGACTTGCATTGATTTTGTGATGAAATAAATTCGAAAAGTCAATGACGTGCTTTAGGCAAAAACTAACAGCTGGCAAATAATATATAACGTGCATAATGTTCAATATTCATTGCTAACAGTTCGACCTGGATGAATATGAATTTATAGAGTAACATATCACGATAAGCCCGGAAAGCTTAGATTTACTAGCTTTTTGCTTACTCCGTGTACTCCACTTAAGTTCAAAGCCTTCGGACGCGTCTTAGGAACGGTTTTGCTAATTTTCAAACTTGACGTGAAAAGTTACAAATGTTTGTACAAATTGTTTTATTGTAATGAAAATGCAACAAAAATCTTTCACTTATGGCGATTTTATTATTATTATGTTATACAAATCATTTTATTCAGCCATGATTATTATTATTTACTTACAAATGACGTTGTGAAGGACGATGGGCACAACAAGTTCGATTCAAGCTAAGCATAATTTACTTTATATTTACTTTCATGCATTCTGATAAAACTTTTTTATTTGCAAAGTTTTTCTTCCTTTTGAAATTTGTACCATTATTTATGAATAAAACTTCTTGAAAGTTTTTTCTTTCGTGGTGGAAAAGAAGTCCATTATAATTCTTTAATTCAATCGATTTCTTATACATACTTAGCCCCATATGCGAAACAATTCAATATTTTATTTTATTTATTTATTTATTTATTTATTTTTTTTTTTGTGGTTTCTTTTCGTTATATTTATTTCTGTTATATATCAAAATGGGAAAATAATTACTTCTGCTTGACTAAATACAATTTTGATAAAAAAAATTTCTTTTATCCCTCAGTTGAGAGCATTCATAATAATACATATTTTCTTTTATACACATTGCCGAAGGATGAGGGTATATTGATTTTGTTAAAACGTTTGCAACGCTCAGCAGGAAGCTGCAGAGATCCCACTAAGTATCTATTTCTTTAATTAGTATCAAATTCTAAATCGATTTGAGCATGTTCTGGTCGCAAAAGTCAAGCTATCAACTTCAAAAAGATAGAAACATTGGAACTTCTTGTACGCAAGTTGATATAGAAAATTATTCAAATCGGTCGAATGACACGGCCACAGCACTGTGTAAATTGAGAACACCTCTGTTTAGCAAAAAGGAATAAAAAATTGACTTTTTGCTCAGTTCTCATAAAGCGTAGGGAATAAGTGTACAAAAATTTGATCGCATATTCTATGAGCGATGCTGTACAAAAATGGAAAGCTTTTACCGCGTCTACGCAGTGTTATGGTGTACTAAAATTTCAATTTTTTTTCAACATCTTTATAAGGCGCAGCAAGAAGGTTCAAAAACCCCATAAATTATATAAATTCGTGGCCAATTTTAAATATGGAATTGCACCTAAACATATGCGTCTGTGTGTTTGCCCATTTGTCTATCGGCGCAATCGTGTACTATAACAAATTTCCAAATATCCAGGATACGTCGTCCGCTACGCCTACATGTCTATACGGCGAAAACTTTTAGTTTGAAAATAGAAAAAATCAGCCGCGCCCGCTCCACGTTATAGAATATGAAAATGTAGTCTTTTTACTATTCTTTTCTTTCATTTTTAGGATAACGTTGATGGGTATAAAAAATCCGCCCACGACCGAATATAATTTCCTTACTTGGCTTAAGTGTTTTTGTTGCGCGCTTATGAGTGTTTATGTACATGTGCGCGTAATGAATTCTCTCAAGTTCTACTGACCCTGTAACAAATTGCTTTCTTTGATAATTTTCCATCCAAATAGGAAAAAAAAAAAAACAAAAGAGGAAAATCAAAAGCAAACAACAAATCAGTAAATGGAGAGACAATAAAACTTTTGCGCCAACCAATGAACACAACAAACAACTATAACAACATTTATTATATTCGCTTTGAAGCACATCTTAAATGTCTACTACAATGTCATAAGTGCAAGCTTAAGATGACTGTTTAAAATTTTTGTTTTTATAGTGATGCCAGATGAAGATTTAGATCGAAAATCTGTCATTTGTCATTGTTTTGTAGACTTGATTACACCTATTTCCCAAATTGTTTCAAAAATCATCTGCCACTAACATGAATAATGTAGAAAATTTTATTATTATTTGAACAATTTTGTTGAGATGAGGAAACGGGAGAATAGATAGGTGATCATGAGCAAATCGATACAAACGGAATACTTTTTATGGAGTCCTTGTGCTATAAACGTAAAGACAAATCTAATATACCGTCGTCAGCGGGCGTGAAAGCCGCATTGCAAGCAGCTAATGCAGCGCGCATTTGAAACTCTAAGAAATTCATTACTAATGATTTAATTAATTATCAAGTAAGTGGCATTTTAAAACTAACTTCTCTCAAAACTTTATAAGCTTTGCATAACACTATTTTGCATTAAGCTTATTTAATTAAGAGCGGATAGCCAGCTCCAGCTTCAAGGTTAACCAACAATAACGATTTATGACATTTATATTTATTGTAGGCAAACGGCGCTCCTTAAGCTTCATAACACTCTTTCTTCGTATATTAGATGCGCCAGTGTGGCAGAGGATAGTGCATAATGCGTTACGCTTTTAGTGCTCAATACGTTTTGCATAAGATATATGCAAACTCTATGTGTCTCCAGTTGATCTAACATCCATCCATCCATTTCTAACATACAAGCATTTCACGGAAAAGTAACCCGAAGGAAGGTGTCGTTGCGGTTTACATGTTCGGACAAATGTAGAACGTTTTTTTTTTTTTTTTGCTGT